CAGAAAATAATCTCGAATGTTTCTGTCACCATCGGCAGGGCGATAAGGAGACAGGAATTAAAACTTAACGTGGTCATATATGTTCAATGACGTCATGAGGTCATATCATTTATTGGCCCCTTCAATGTCTGCCGAGCGAGTCTCCACTCCCGAGCCTTCACGATTTCTGACTAGTCGAGACCCAGCTTACACACAATGCCTTTAATTTGTGATCTTTCACTTCGACCAGTGGATGAAGACCGTTCGGAAAGGCTAACGCGCTGAACGCTTCGTTTCCGGACCTAGTTCATCTACCTAGTTCAATAAAAAGATTTCTGACAACTTCGTAGGATCTTGCCAAAGGCGTACAGTGAAACGGTGTGACTTCGCAAGTTTACCTTGATTGTCTTGATTGTCATAACGTGACCCAATGTGACCAAAAAAGCGACCGAAAGCAATTCAAATAGGCCAATAACTTAGGCCCAGTTATTCAAACGTGATGCAGGTTTGTCAAAATTGACATAGAGAGACCCAAATTGGTCCACCTACTCGCCACAGGTTTCCTACTATAGGCTTATACAAAATGTATAAAGCATCAACTTGGAATTTAACATGGGGACTACCTGATATTATCGAGAGAAACGGCATGGGATCCCCTTCACTATCGTGCGAATTTAAATTGAAGTCAGTGCGTAGTGCGTCAGTGTTAAAAAAAATGACTGAAAGGTATGCCTTCAGAACCAAAAACTTCCAGGAGCCCCTGGAGAGGCAACCCGGCATAAACACTATTGGACGGGAATAAGATAATCAAAGCAACCTAAAACTATACTCATCGCCAAAAAAAAGCCCGGCCAAGAAGGAGTCGAGCAATTTCGAGATTTGGTACACTAGCTTATACTAGCGCACTATGAAATTGATATTGATTAGAATTTCAAGTGCGTGGGATGAATATTAGTGGAATAAACATACCAATTAATCCAATTTCTGTAGCAGCTATGGGGTCATACTAATCGCCCGAAACGATTACCTAGAAGGTATTTACTGACGAAACGTGGTAGGGAAATTCTAAATAGATGTGCAGAAAAATCGAGCCAAGTTTCGAGATCATGAGATGAAGCAATTCGGAGAAAACTCGTCAAATGCCGGAAGAATTGGGGAGGAGGGCGGCGCCATTGAAGGAGTCAGTTTCCTTTTCTCCTTCCCCCAAGCCGCTTCTCTATAGGGCCGTTGTTGAAAGTTCAACCGCAAGGCAGTGCTAAGGTGAGATCTCTGGTGGCAATTTCAACAAACTGTTGGGGTGTTTCTTTCCTACATGATACCGAATGAAATTTCCTACCATGAAATTTCCTACAAGAGACCGAATAATGTAGAGCCACATCATTTTTCAAAGGTACATTTATTCTATTATTAATTTTGTATTTATTGAGCATGGTTTGAGGACCTCGGTAGAGAAACAATGATCTAGAACAATCATGTTCACGTTGGTTCCATGGGTCACTTTGGATCCCTCATTGGTCAGTTTCGGTCAACTTGAGTCACTCGCGGAAAATTTCTCTCAAGCTGTCGTTGTATCAATTTGGGTCACCATGGGCCAAATTCATTAAACTTAGGTCACTCTAGGATAAATAGGCTCAATGTATTGAATTGGGTCACTCCGAGTCACTTATGGTCAATGCGGGCCACTCCGGTTCACTTTGACTCTCTCCTTGTCGCTTTGGCTCACTCTGGGTCAGGGTTGCTTTGATTAAGGTAACTTTGGCCCTTAAGTATCATTCAGGTTGGCAGGTAAGAAGCAAAAAGTGGAGGCAGAATATTATCTTTATGACATGCGCTGTACCGATAGCATTAGTCATGAGTGTACCATATGCTTGGCGGATTTTAGAAGCGTCCTTCACCGACATATGCTTCTTTTTCGGATGATGTCACGATTGTCAACTACCTTATCCAAGGCAGCAATAAAAGCTTAAGCCATACATAAGACTGAGCCATTGATATCCAGGAGAGAGGGTTTTATTTCATTGCGTTTTGGTAAGGTTTATAGCATGGTCATCACCATCAAAATGCGCCAACAGCAAACTATAAATATTGCGTCGGGATCGACACTATGTGGATGATACAGTACCAACTCAGAAGAAAGAATACATTTTACAATGCCTTCCATTTACTTTAGAGAGAGAAAAGCATGGCCTGTCGATAGTCTTTCGAATGGATGGATGTCGAGCGCCCTTATTCACGGATTGCACTTAAGTACTCCATAGAAAGACCTTAGCTAAGCTAAGTAAATGGAAAAGGAGTTCTACACTCAGCAATTCTTTTTGATGGAATAGCATGTAATACGATATGGGTATAATGTGCTCCTCTTTCGCCTTGGCGCCATGACGACCAAGTGCGAAAATGACAAGTGCCCTAGGATGAACCATTGATTCAATTTGCAATGGGTGACGCAGTAACGTAGTAACTGGGAGTAGTGGCTTGATGTCCCAACTCTGAAAGAATGAGCAGGCGAGTAGGCACAAGCCCTTTCCACTGAGCCACTATAACGCGATCACTCTATATTGTTTTTAACCCTAATCCGGGCAAGGTGAGTCCGCTGGACTCACTACGACATATTTCGGTCTATTACTGTCATTATTTTTTTAAACTATCAGGACCATTGAATAAATTGTCTGTATTATTTTAGNGTGAGTCCGCTGGACTCACTACGACATATTTCGGTCTATTACTGTCATTATTTTTTTAAACTATCAGGACCATTGAATAAATTGTCTGTATTATTTTAGTTACAGTACTGTTATTTATAAGAATACATACCGTAACAGCAACAAACGGCCTTATTTTACATGAGTCTGACAGACTCACCTTGCCCGGAATAGGTTGTAAAAAAGCTTGCCCGGATGAGGGTTAATAATATTCTTCAACAATTCTTTAGGAAGTGAAGCCTTTCCCTTGACTTAAGGGTAAAGAAGCCGGCCGACAAAGACTCCTAGGCAGAATGCATCGAGAGTCTTTCTACAACCCACCTTTATCTGAAGCAGACTCAAACAATTGGGGGGATAAGAAACCTGAAGAAAACGCAAGACAGGGGGAAAAAAATCGAAATCAGTCTGATGAGCTAAAAAATAAATTAAAAACGAATCGCTTCAGTTTCACTCAGCATTGATATCGGGAATGGACTTCGACTTCGACCCTGACCCTTAGGAGGTACTCTTATTATGGCTGCTCTAGGGACTCTGTTGATAGCAGCAACGTCAGTTGGGGGGGGGGGGGGCAGAGAAAGCAGGTGTTCTCCTCCCACTTCTCAAGGCAAAGAAGCAAAAGTAAGACGCATGAAATGCACGAAACAATGTCATAGAATTCCCACCCCAGCCTCACTTCTTCCAACCACGCTACGTTCACGATTGATAGGGAAAATGGTAAAGACTTTCCCGTCCCCCATTTGCTCGCCATACGATTGGACTCGAGGGTGATAGTGAATGAACAACCCCTAATGCTATGGTGGGTCAGCATAAAAGTCAATCTCACCGTCGCCTCCATTTACCGTACTCATTATATGCCGTAACCAGGAACACCTTGTCACAAAATCGACATCCCATTCTCACAGATACTGTAATATATCATTCGTTATATGCCCGTGGCTGGGCAGAGATGCATTTCCTGTCATAAACCGCTTTTACGATCTAAGCTGAATTTAAAACAAGAACCTACGAGAATCGGAAATCCCACATCTGGATTAGAATTGACAAGGTTTATTGTAATTTTAACATAATAAGGCACGATGGCCTTTGACTAATAATCTGAACGTAATGCAGGGTGTCCGGAAAAAAACGTATAGACACTGTAATTTCATAAGAGTGGTCTGAAAATAATTTGCCGGACGAGATAGATGGAGTAATTGACGGATTGAGGTTGGTACTGCTGATGTTCATGACGCTGGCACGACGTTTCTCGGTGAATGAGAAAGGGCAAGTTTTGAAATCGTGCTGGAAAACAGAGAACGTGTGCAACGTTTGTAGCAGCGAAGAGAATTCGGTACTCAGCCACATATCGGAATAACGATTACAATAATTCGTGAGAAGTTTGATGCTGAAGGAAGTGTGCTAGGCATGCACTTGTTACACTGTTAGCAATAAGTATTCAGGTGTGTTTTTTTAAGGGTTAAATTGAAGATTGAATTCTTTTTGAGGGTTAAATTGAAAAAATTATCTGATGTCGGAACAACACTATCTCAAAGGGTTGTTTAGATGTTTAGTTAACCTCCTCTGAATGCTTTTTTTTATCCCTTTCGATCTGGAGAGTTTGGTATTCATTGTCTTGAGTGGGGCATAGCCATGAGTACATTATACACAAGAAAATTAACCCTCATCCGGGCAATCTTTTTTACAACCTATTCCGGGCAAGGTGAGTCTGTCAGACTCATGTAAAATGAGGCCGTTTGCTGCGGTTACGGTATGTATTCTTATAAATAACAGTACTGTAACTAAAATAATACAGACAATTTATTCAATGGTTCTGATAGTTTAAAAAAATAATGACAGTAATATACCGAAATATGTCGTAGTGAGTCCAGTGGACTCACCTTGCCCGGATTAGGGTTAAAATTGTGGCAGTAATATTGAAAGTTTTTTTTTTTACTGACTAACAAAATTGATGCTCAAAATCTATCATCTATTGACAGATTCTAGCTCTCTCCTGAGAATACCTGTTTGAAACACCATGTTTGTTTTTTTGTTGCCCACCTTATAGGTTAAAAAAATGCATACAAGTCTCAGAAGATGGAATTGTTCCTATTCCTACCAGCCTAGGAAATAGGTATTTCTATGTCTAATGGTTTTTTCATTTTCTTGGTTCTTATCAAAATGTCATTTAGTTTGGTATGTGTAAAAGATACTAGCAACCTTCCGTATATATAGTTAATATGACATTATGGAGCTGATCAATGATAGCTTGCAAGATGAGTGCAATATCCAGAATGAGAAAGCACTTGAGTGCAGGTTTGACATTTTTTTCCATTTTTCTTTCAGTTCAAACCTCTCTTCCTGGGAATGGCGAATCCAGGAAGTGAGATGGGAACTTATGTTCGTGTCTGCAATACCCAGAAATGCATTCGTGCAGGAGGAAAACACAATGATTTGGATGATGTTGGGAAGGATGTTTATCATCACACATTCTTTGAGATGCTTGGAAATTGGTCTTTTGGTGATTATTTCAAGGTCTGAATGAAAACTATGAATGAATGTATTGCATAGCCAGGCAAATGCACCATATCTCAAATGTTATCATCTGCCTCTTTGCTCTCACAGAAGGAGGTATGTGAGTGGGCTTGGGAGCTCCTGACTGAGGTATACAAGTTGCCTAAGGACAGGTTGTATGTGACCTATTTTGGTGGAAATGAGGCAGTTGGACTGAAATCTGATGAGGAATGCCGTGACATCTGGAAAACTCTTGGGTATGTTCAACACTGCCTCAATTAGACCAAGTATTAGTGATGTCCTGGATAGGGTTTTGGCCAGGTACCAGATACAGGATATCCTGCAGAAACATGTCTGGTCAGAACTGAAGCACATGTTAACTGTCTCTTATTCATATAATTTCACAACCAAATCCATTGGTTCCATAGTTCATCCCCAATTACTTTCTAACTAGTAAGGGTGAGGCGGCATTGTTGAAAGAACATACATGCCTTCCCTACACTGAAGAAGTGTAGAGCCGATATTAGGCTATAAACTCATTTGATTTTATTAATGTTGATATGATATTTCATATTTGAACATACCTCATGCATCGGAAAAATGTGAAATCCTCTCAGACTAATAAATGACCAGTTCAACAAAATTCTCATTGCAAAGGATTCTATGGAGAAAGTCTCACTTCTTCCTGCCAGACAATTACTCATTCCTGTTCTCCCTCCCTCTCCCACTCTAGATATTTGACCCCAATTTGACCAGACCAGATAACTCATATACCAAATGGCAATTGGACATGTGGCAAATCATTAATACAGCTCATTAATTAATGATATCATGCAAAATTAATGAACTTGCAAGCTTAGTGTAAATTACTTACCTTGACCTTGGAAAAAAAATTATTTCTTGCAGTCTACCTGAAAGCCGAATATTGCCATTTGGCATGAAAGACAACTTCTGGGAGATGGGAGAAGTTGGTCCATGTGGCCCATGCTCTGAGATTCATTTTGACCGGATTGGGAACCGAGATGCATCTCATTTGGTGAATATGGATGATCCCAATGTCTTGGAAATCTGGAATCTTGTTTTCATCCAATTCAATCGAGAAGAGAATGGGATCCTCCGTCCCTTGCCCAAGAAGCACATTGATTGTGGCATGGGACTTGAACGTCTTGTCTCTGTTGTTCAGGTATGCCAACACAGAAATCTTAATACAATAACTTTATCTGAGAAGGTGTAATACAGTAATCACACTTGCAGGGGAAGACTTCCAACTACGACACAGATTTTTTCACACCACTCTTTGAAGCCATTCAGGAAAAAGTGAAGGGTCGCTGTCCTCCCTATCAAGGAAAGGTAGGTCAGGAGGACCCACAAGGAGTGGACATGGCATATCGGGTACTGGCTGACCACGCTCGCACACTTGCTGTTTCTTTGGCTGATGGTGGAAGACCTGATAACTCTGGAAGAGGGTGAGAAGGATCCAGGATTCAGAACTTAGAACATCAGTTTCCATCTATTTATGCCCTGTATGAATGCTTATTCTATAGGTATGTATTGAGGAGGATTCTAAGGAGAGGAGTGCGCTTTGCTTCTGAGAAGCTCAAAGCAGACCCAGGCTTGTTGGCATCACTCATCCCAGTTGTGGTTCAAGTGTTGGGTGATACCTTCCCAGAGGTTTGTTGTTGACCCTCATCTCCATCAAATGAATGTATTCTGCAATGCAGCCTCATGAAGGGGGGGGAGGGGCCTCCTTAAATTTTAGCTAGCAAATTAACCCTTATTGAGAACTACTAATTGATATTTGTTGATGATTTACAGTTGCAGAGCATAATAATGAAAGTCTGTGCTTTGAAGGCTATCATGCAAGAGAAGGTGATGGCCTCTTATCACTTGAGTGAGGAAGGATAAAAGTCAGACATTCAAACCCTTCAGTACAAAACAGAAAAGATTCATCCAGAATTACCAATGCAAAGGGGTTTACAAGGTGTGACAAGAAAGTTCCAGGACTGAATCTTATATGAGTCTGGCAACTTCGCATTTATTTTCATGCTATGGACTGATATATTAGACTGTTGGAAAGTGTTGTGTAAGTTCTCATCTGACTAGTATCGTGAAAAGACATTGAAGATGATGACTGGTGCAGCTGTCCTGTGGGTGAATGGTTGGTGGTGGTTGGGATGGATCTGAATGTCTTCTCTACTTGCTCAAAGCAGTAGATATCATTCAATACACATTCTTGTGACATTTGATTGATCGCTGCAGCTGTATTCCCCAATTTAAGGCAAAATTTTATGAAGCATTGCCTACCTCTGGGAATATGACATATGCATTACAAACTGAGTTGCTACATTGCCACCTGATCTCTCATTCACAATACGTCAGATGAGAACTTACACACTACTTCCCAATGGTCTAATATATCAGTCCATAGCATGAAAATACATTTTGTGGAGTTGCCAGACTCACAAAAATTCAGTACTGGAACTTTCTTGTCGCACCTTGTTTGTCAAATGTAGGCCAATGTGATGGGGAGTACAGAGGATGAAACCAAATGCATCAAAGTAGACCTTCAAAGATACCATGATATAATATGATTGACAGATTAAAGGAAGTAGAATGTCAAAATGAAGCTAATGGAGGAGGCAGCATCAATGTCTACAGTAAGATGGCATCTGCAAAAGTATCAAAGGCTATGTCTTAGGCATAGAGTGTGGTATAGCATCATTATTAACACTTTTGTTGCCATGCCAGAATAATACAGCAAAATTGGTCTAACATTGAAAGTGTTATAATGCATGCAGGGTGTCTGGAAATAATATTACCAATGGTGTAATTTGTTCAATATAGCACAAAATATAATGTAAGTTTACAAGGTTTTGGGTCTGTCCATGCCAAGTGGTCTTACGATTTTAGCTGGAAATTGTCCTAAATATGCAAATATTACTTTCACTACAGAAGTTCATTATCTCTTTTCCCAGAAGACATGAATGAAAGAGAATATTACATTGAAAAATGAAAGAATTTGTCATCCTTATGATATATTATCCATACCATTCATGATACTCAAAAATGTGATGAAAATGCAAATCTGGAAAGACTGAATTGGACTACTGGAACAGATGCCAGCATGGGCTTTCCATGCATACTGATAATTTCAAATCAGCTAAGATGTGAAGAGTAGATGTCAATTGTTCACATTTGAATATCTTTAAAATAAAATTAATATATATGCACAGACTTCTTGTTTCAAAATACATTTTCAGAACATGTCACATCTGACACCATCACAAAATAGGCTTACTTTCTGTTTCAAGTGTTGTCACCTTGGGGTGACTTACACTAATTCCAGCCTTTCATTCAATCTATAGAATGAACATGAAACTAAATTTTTAGGATCCGCTCGATGACAGATGTGTGAACATTAGTGCAAATGACTTTAACTTGAGGTTCACAAAATGTCACGTCGGACACTTTTCTTTTGCACATAGGTACACCTCTAACAAAAGAGAGAGTGCAAGACTTCAGATTATGGAATTTTCAGTTACCACCCAAAGCAAATTGTTACAACCTTTATATGCTGATTCGTTGTCCATAATATAATTAAATACATTTTGTAAACTAAAAATATTACTCCAGATGTCACATCCAACACTGTGAACAGGCCCTTTTGCAAATGCTGCATAAAAAAAGGAAAAGCAAGTTGCTGGTGGTGGTGCTTGTAAATGAACCTTGAGATCAATCAGCTAATGAGGTCAGTTGTCCAAGTCACGAGGGCACCATAGAGGTCCATCAAAAGAATCAAATCTTTGGAAGTTTTGGACATATAGAAATTAAACTTGATGGACTCGGTAAGCTTGGAGAATTGTATGAATGTCAGAGTTAATGAGTGACCATGAGAAATGAGTTGTGAAGGCAGGAGTGAATGTGGAAAATGCAAGCAGGGGAACCAAGGAACTTCATTATCGTGCATGGGAGACAAGTTTAGGAAAACACATCCTTGTAATGTCACATGGGGGAGTCTCTCTTAAATGGGGCTGGGGTTTGGTTGGTAGCTTCCTTGACTCCCATGACACGGGACCCAGGTGCAAAACCAAGCAAATAGGGTGTTTATTTTCTAGTGCAAGCCCCATCAGAGACCCCTAAGCATTAGGTACTTCTGTCTTGAGAAATGGGATATTAAATAACCCCAGTGGTGAAGGCTGAACTCATGTAAAAAATTGAGAGGGTACTCGGCCCCTCTAGATCAGATGAGCTAAGAGGATGGTGGGAAGAGTTAGAGGGATTTTAGAGTAACAATGAATGCTTTGCTATGAATGAATGTTACCTTGCCTTATGAGTCTTCATTGGCAAGAGGGAAATCCCAATGTAAATGACAAATCCCTGCTAGGAGGTATAGGGATTGCCAAGGTTTCTTTCCTGGAATAATCATTTATCAAACCCAAATTTTTGGCTGGACCGAAATGCCTTTTTTTTGTTTAAAAATTGATATTTTCATGGATGGATGGTTGAGGAGTAGAAGTTGATTCATACACGTATGCTCCAGGGATTTTTTCTAAGAAAGGAGGAAGGTTTGACTTTGTTGATATGATTGTATAAAGGTTTACAGATCCATGTCACCCAGCGAATACATTTTTCTGTCTCATAATTTGGACCTATGTGTCAGTACTTGTTCCATCAAGAAGGAAAAATGTTCACTCATTCTCTTCTTTCAAGAGAATTTGGGAAGGCATGAAATGCCAGCTTCTCTATTCTGCTGTTATAATAGGAAGCCCCACAACCAGAAATCATGCAGGATTTTCCACTTCCTTTACCCATGATTCAAACTAATTGCCCTGATCCATACAGATGTTCTTACCCAATGAATATGCCAGTGAGGGGAAATATGGAGAAGCTAAGAGTGGCTTCAAGGGAATATCAATAAATGAGAAAGATTATGCTAGGGGAGCTGGAGAGACAGTAGAGCACAAGAGAAGACTGGGTGTATTAGGAGAATGAAGAGGGAGTGAGAAATTATCCTGCCTTGACTACTGAAGAAAGAGTGAGCTGAAAGAGTCCCAGCAGCCCTGTATATGTGCATCCTTGTGATTGTGATTGCACTCTGCATGCACGCATATTCATGACCTCCTCAATGCTAGGAATTGGGAAAGTGGCAATTTTAAAATAAGATTGTTACTGTTTAAAGCTTTACTATGATGTATAATGGTCAGATGGTATTTCTGTTCCATGTAGCTGAGAAAGAATCCTCAAGAGATCATGCAAATCATCAGAGAGGAGGAAGATCAGTTCTTGAAGACTTTAGGTCGAGGGGAGCGATTGTTCCAACGTGCCACCCAAAATATGGAGCCAGGATCCCTCATTAGTGGTAATGTGGCCTGGAGGCTCTATGACACCTATGGATTCCCTCTGGATCTCACACAGCTTATGGCTGAGGAAAAGGGATTGATTGTAGATGTCAAAGGGTGAGCCCATGCATGATAAATTCTCTTACCCCAATCCCACTCATTCACTGTTCATCTCTTTTGTATTGAATGACTCCCTGTAGCTATGAAGAGTGCCGCACTCAAGCTGTGGCAATATCTCAGGGGAAGGGGAGTGCAGGAAAAGCAGGGATTGTGCTCAGTGTCCATGACATTGACCATTTGTCTAAGAAAGGTGTATCACTCACTGATGATTCTTTCAAATATGCTTACCAGAGGAAGGATAAGATGCAATATGGTATGTTGTCCATGGCTCAAGGCTGCTTTGTAACATTAATCCCATACTTAAGAAATTGATGATGTTGATGTCTCTTAGAGTTTCCCCAATGCACTGGGACAGTATTGGCCATCAAGGGAGAGAACAGCTTTATGGATGAGGTCAGTGATTCCTCTGTTGGGCTTGTCCTGGACCATACCAACTTTTATGCTGAGGCTGGAGGACAGATCTATGATATAGGTTACATGACCCTTGTCAACAATCCCGTGAGTAACTAACTATTCATGTACTATTGATTGCCACTCTATGCAAGCTTCTATATTTTTGGAGCTATTGGTCATGAATCCAGGATGTGGAAGTGAGTGTGGAAGACGTCCAGGTACGAGGAGGATATGTGTTGCATGTGGGATATGCAAATGGCTGTGTCCAAGTTGGAGATCAAGTGTCTCTTATTGTGGACACAGAAAGGAGACAAGGGATTATGGGGAATCATACTGGAACTCATGTATTGAATTTTGCACTTAGGGCATCACTTGGCACTGATGCTGATCAGCGAGGTTCTCTAGTTGCTCCTGATAGACTCCGCTTTGACTTCACCTCCAAGGTTCTTATCTCCATATGGCAAAGTTATTGTAGCATTGTGAAATTTCAGCCCAAAGTGCTCATCTAATCAATGTTTCTTTGAAATAGGGTGGTTTGCAAGTGGACCAGGTGAAAAAGGTTGAAGTCCTGGTCAATGACATCATTCAAAAGGATGAAGTCATTCATGTGGGTGATGCTTCTCTAGCTGAAGCCAAGAATATTCAAGGTTTAAGGGCTGTATTTGATGAAACCTATCCAGACCCAGTCCGTGTGGTTTCAGTTGGGATCTCTGTAGAGAAACTCCTGGCTGAACCCTCTGCTCCACATGCTCTCAACACATCTGTGGAGTTCTGCGGTGGGACGTGAGATGCCTTTCATGTTTCCTATGTGTCACTTATGAGAGAAAGAGTAAGTTAAAAATGGGCTTAAATTTTGACTTTGTCTACATTAGGCATGTACATAGAAGTGGGGACATAGGTGCCTTTGTCCTCGTGAGTGAGGAAGCTATTGCCAAGGGGATTCGTCGTATTGTTGCTCTCACCGGTATCCCTGCTTTCAAGGTCTTTCTCTCTGTTGCTCTCTCGACCCCAGTGACAAAGTTCCAAACTAATGCATGCATTTGAACATGATTATCCAGGCAATCAAAGTGTGTGAGGAGTTGGAGAAAAAAGTGCAGGCTCTATGTGCCGGACAACTCAATTTGACAGTTACTGAACTTGGGGATGAAATATCACAAGCACAAATCCCATACTGGAGGAAGGTAAACTGCAATGGCTGCTTGTCAGTGGTGACAAGGTTTGCTTGAGGTTCACATCATACTGAGAATTTTGCTTCCACTCTTTACTCTTGAAAGGAGGAAATGAGGCAGCAGTTGAAGGAGGTGAAGAAGAAGCAGGATGAAGAGGACAAAAAGAAGAAGATGGCTGTAACAACAACTGTGGTGGAAGAAACAAAGAACCTCCTTCAGGCCCTCTCGACTCCCCCTCCATTTTGGGTTCATGTCTTCCCCCATGCCAAGAATAATGCCAAGGTAAACATGTGATAAACCTACAGTAGCATACATTTTGGAATTTGAGACATACAGACTCATTCCTATCTCTGTACAGGCATTGGATGGATCACTGAAGCAGGTGCGGGGCATTTTTCCTCAGACATCAGCACTTGTTCTCACTTTTGACCCAGACACACAGAAAGCATTGTGCCTGTCATCAGTCTCACCAGTATGTAACTCTGTTCCTCAAGCTTTTAATTGGAATGGATAGCTGACTGAAAACAAGACATTGTCCCTGGTGATAGGAAGGGATTGCACAAGGCTTAAAAGCAATTGATTGGGTGAGTGAGGTCAGCAAGGTGATTGGAGGGAAAGGAGGAGGGAAAGCAGAATCAGCACAGGCTACTGGCCCCAACTGGACTACAGTTGATGAGGCTAAGGAAGTTGCCATTCAGTTTGCAGCAAAATTCTTCACATCCTCAACCACATCATCATCAGACAAAGGAGAGTCCTTAACTTGGAAGGTCATAATGGCTGTCATGACACAAGATGGAAAGAAATTGTCCTTTGTGGGAGAGTCTCCTGTCCTGTTGTTCCCTGATGGTACCAGCATTTCTGGACGTATCTCATGCCTTTGGGCCATGGCCCCTCAAGCTCTCCTTCCATCTAATGCTGCTTTCCAGGTCACAATCTTTGGCTACTTTCAAAATCCCATTTGCATTCCAGGTCACTTTTATACTTATACTTAAATTTAGTAACTTTATTGTCCCATGAGATGAAAGATAGGGTTCCCTGAAATTTACCTGGATCTATTTACACACTCTCCAAGGGAAAACAAATTATCACAGCCTGACAAATGTATGAAATCAATAGGGGAGTGGCACCAGTTCATGAAGAGGGAGCCAGTTAGCGAATGAGGGTCATGAAATGCAATTTGGCCTTTTGTTACTCTAGTTTCACACTCCATCCCAAGCATTAATTAATCAATCCATTTTCTGCAGATACCAAAAGCTGGAGCAAGAACTGCTGGAATGAGAGTCATTTCATGACCCTCGTTTGCTAACTGGTGTCGCTCCCCTATACGTATACAGTGACTTGAGAACCTAACATCAAGACTCCATATACAGGGTGTTCCATTTAAAACTGAACCTATTATATTGTTGAAGGAATAGTATGTAAGAGGTATATTATGTTGGGAACACAGTTGGTAATACTGCAAATTGTCATGACAATGCTGTTATTTATAACTAGGCGGTGACTTTGGCTTTCATAATAGAAGGTATCAGTTGAGTGAAGGGTTTCAATAAAGAAGGGAATGTTTTGTGATTGACATTTGGGTTTGGTTTTAAATGGAACACCCTGTAGTAAACACTATTAGGATGAAGAGGCAGGGGGCTACAAATTATTTTAAAATGAAAAGTATATAATTTGGGCAGAATTTTTTTTTTCCAGGATTATGGCATTCAGTTGGACATACTGAATAGTTTCATGCTTGGGGAGACTCATTGTATCTGATTTTATGATTTGGTATTACTGTAGTTGGTATAGATTCCATCATTGAGAAGTTGCTGTTGAATAATTAGGAGCACAGCAGGCCTTCCAATGCAAGTTCATTGTTCTAGGATCTAATCCCAGTTGACTCCAAGCTTGCTGTTAGTATGATGGAATCAACACAAATGATTTTTCATTATTGGGTTCTTGGAAAAACATACAAGGCATCCCATAAGTCACTATACCATTTCAAAAAATCACATCCAATAAACAGTTGCCATGATGAAGAACTAGCTTCAACTGAACAATAGCATGCCATTTGGAATTATCTTTGTCAAAAAAGGAGGTGTTTTGGAATTTTGAAAGTGCCTCAAAATGCCTTCCACCTATGTAAATGCATTTGACATGAGGCTCAGTACCAAAATATCACAAAAACTCCCTCTGAACTCTGATCCAATAAACCAAAAATATCAAAGACCTCCATCCAAGTGACAACTTTTCTTTTTTGCTCTAATATCAATTGAAAAACCATTTCACATGAAAACAAAAACAAATTAAACTAAAATTTTTTTTTTTATATTCCTCAAGTCTGTTTGAAATGGGAATATCATAATATTTAGCAATTTTGTGGACAAATTTTTGTTCAATTGAAAATGGTGTAACATAAATCACCCTAAACAAATACACCTTTCTAACATATGGATTTGAAGCGATTTCCATTTGAATCTGATTCCAAGTCATTGTGAAAAAAATTATAAAGGATGTTCTTTCCATCAATACCAACAGCAGCAGCCTGCTTGTTGCAGTTTGAAATGGTTTAGTACCTTACCTGGTTAAAGAGTCACTGTCACTTCAAAGTTTTTATTGCAATTAGTATTATGTTGGTGAATACAAACATACACTCGATCAAACATGGGAGTGATGGGTTTTTATTTACTTATGATTGATTCTGTAGGAGCTGCTTAATGTATCCACCTTGAAGATCATGAGATCATATTCATTTTAACTGGATGTTGTTCCTAGTTTGGCTAAGTAAGTGAAGTTACTACTTGGGGCCAACTTTGAGATGCTGTGATGAGCCAGATTTAAATAACATTATGGCCTGCAAAATTACTAAATCAATGGGATTTTTGTTTGTGATTTCTTGGAGAGTGCCTACTCTGAGCTGCACTAAAAAAGTAATATAACATACAATCAGAGAAGAGTTCATTCTTATTTCTCAGGTAACACTCATAGTGGCTGTGAAGAGTCATGAGGAAAGCCTATACCATTATCCAGCTGATGGCAGATATATTTATAAATTTTTTGCAAGAAGCTGTGAATAAGGCATTCTTATTTTCATGCATTGTACAGGGTGTTTCAAAAGTTGCACAATCCTATATACAGCATTTTTTTGAGGAACTTGAATTGAGAATTGAGTACTGAATTTCTGAACGATGTGTTGGTAATGTTCAGCATTTACAGTTTATGTGAAAAACATGGGACCCACAATCCTAATGCAATAGCTGATGTACTCCATTTGAGTATGTACTCCATTTAAATATATAACAGCACTTGTTTATACAAGGTCTGACAATAAAATAACAAGACTGACAACACTGTAATGCGTGTGACAACACTGGGTTAGTGGCGATTGCTGTAACCTGTCAGTGCATGTCTTAAGTCTGTGCAGTAAGAAACTTGTCATGATACTTGCAGTGATTGCAGAGCAGTACCATTTTACCTAAAGTACTGTTAGGGGCACTTGTAAAAAAAATCAAACTCAAAGAAAAACCAACAGATTAACCGGTTAAGACGATGTTGTTCTGTTTCTTCGACTGCAAAGGGATTCAAAGGGAAAATTTGTTCCTGCTGGTGAAACAGTTAACCAGCAGTTTTATCTTTAAGTTTTGAAATGTCTGAGACAGCAGGTTTGTTGGGTGAAGCCAAAATTTTCCCCGATAAATGGATTTTGCACCACGATAATGCACCGTCACACACAGCACTTTCTGTTTAGGAGTTTTTGGCAAAAAAAATCAATTACAGTACTTGAACACCCCCCTTCTTCACTGGATCTTGCTCCGTGTGACTTTTCCTTGTTCCCTAATGTGAAGAAACACATTTTGAAACCATGGAAGAGATTCAGAAGGTTACAATGGGCGTTCTAAACATCTTGCAGGAGATTGACATCCAGAAGTGCTTCAACAATTGGGAAAAATGCTGGAATTCATGTATATCTGCAAGAGGGAACTACTTTGAAGGAGACCACCACAGTTTTATTATTTTATTGTCAGACCTCATATATAGGGTTGTGCGACTTTTGAAACACCCTGTATATTCATGTTTGTTCATTTTCTGATGCTGCAAATGAGGACTTCATGGCCACCCTATACTTTGATTTCAAGCAACCATCAGTGTCTTCCAGTATTTCTCTCAGATTTGCATGCTTGACAGAAAGCCAAGGCAGCAAAAAAGCTTCACTTCTCTCTCAAATTGATTCATATGTGTTGTACAATTTTTTTTTACCCTTTCTGAGATGAGATAGCATGAGGGAGTATGAAGGATTATGCAAAGTGTATGGATTATTTTGGAAGACTAAGTATTATGCCACTAGGGTGCAGCAATCAGCAGTTGGTACGAAAGTCAAGGGAAAGCAATGTACCTACTGTTTGCTTTCTTCTCTGGGAGGGGTAAATATTCCTGAACATTGTGTTTCAAGTGGACATGTTAATGTATGAACCAATTACATCTTGATCCTCTGCTTTTTGCTAATGTGCTAAATGCTAGATAAAATGTCCTTGTTGCAGGTGCTGGAATGGATTCGAGTGATGGAGAATGATCTGGTAGGTGTCGGAGAGGAGAGGATGAGAAAGGGATTGGCATTCATGGAATCCTACCTTCTTCGTCACACATTTTTAGTTGGAGAGAGGCTTTCCCTGGCTGACCTCCTCCTGGCTGAAGCCATCCACTCTCTACCAGACGAGTAATTTGCTCTCCTTTTCCTCTGAACAAAAAGAGTAGCACTTCCTGTGTTGAAATGATTTTATATCTGACCAACAGGTGTACAAGGGGACTCAACACAAGACGCTGGCTCAAGACTGTTTTCGATCAGGGTGAATTAATGTTGAAGAAGACATAACGGTTGCTGTCCTTCGGTCCTTGGTTTCCTTTATTTGTCAGTTCAATTGCAAGGAATTAAGAAGAAAGCATCAAGGTTGATTGATTTTTGCTCTGATATAGATGAAGAGATTTTCCACATTTGTTCCCTCCAATGCTGACACTCCAAACAGCATGTAATCATCACCCAGCTCTTTCCTGAGCTCTGCAAATTCCTCCTGAGGAAATAAAATATGAAGATGTAATATGTCAGGGCAAAACTGTAAGATGAAAAAAAAAAATTAATATAAAACTATCAAACCTGTGGGATGCCTTACCAAAGCCCCAGGTAGGTCAATTTTGTTGGCAGCCACAATTTGAGTTTTCCTCATGAGATTTGAATCATGGAGTTGAAGTTCTTTTTTGAGAATGTGAAGCTGATCCAAAGGACAGGGATCCAAACATCCTAAATCCAAAATGAAAAGGAGGCAATGGCATCGTTCAACGTGTCGCAGGAAATCATGTCCCAATCCTCGGTTTTTGTGAGCTCCTTCGATGAGACCAGGGAGATCTGCCACTGAGAGAGTTGCATAAATGAAAGTAAACTCTAACCAAGACTGCAGTATTGCCCATGAATGATTTCAAGTTTTGGGTGACCCACAAGATCATTTCTTGACACTCTTGGTTGTTTATGAAGCACAGTTGGCTTGTGTTAATCTGTATGCCAAATATTTAGTTGCTTCTTAATATAGACAAATCTAAGAGTCACAGAAAAAATTCTACAGAGCCCCTGTACCATTTCCTCATAGCCAAATATTAATACAACACTTTAAAAAAAAAGCAGCAGACTGAAGATCCCTTCTATCTTTTCTTGATCCACCAATCAAAACTTCTACATGAGTTGTCATGTATTAAATCCTAAATTGAGAGGAATTAAGAGACCTAACCATAAGGAATTTTTTATGATTGGTGCAATAACCACTCAAACTCCAGGAGAGCACTGTTTTTTCTTGGAATGGCATACTACATGGTGATCAAAAAGTCCTGCGATCCATGGGAGTATTCAGTATTAGGAAACCATTCTAGTAGATGTTGCAAATGATGAATAGCACATCAAAACTTCTTTGCCAAATCAACAGCATCGCCACTCACCTGCAAGGAAAAATTATTATGCAGTTATAGATGAACAATCACTTGTCCCATGGATTGTGGGACTTTTTGATCACCCTGTATTAATCAGGAGTTCAATGACTAATTCTGTGGTCACAAAGGATACCTTTCTATTGAGGTTTTACATACCTCCAAGGATAAAGCTATAGAGTAAAAATGCCTCCAAGAGAAATGAGCTTTCTCTTCCAAACTTAAAGCCATTTCATGGAAAATGTATTCATAGTCCCCACAAATTAGAGAAACCAAATGAAATCATCTCCTCTTTCATGTTTCCCTCTCCTAATTGTAGACAAAAAGACTTACTTATTTGGGCTTCTAACAAATCCAAATGAATGGAACTTTTAATCTTCCCATCATGGTGCCTTCTTTACATTAGAAGAGGTTCACAATGAACCTTTGAGTCATTCCACTATTAATCCTCTTGAAAAAGCATATTGGATGGATTCAAGAACTCGACTTCATCTCTATTTCTTGCTGCTTTCCTAAAGCTTAAGGACAAATGCTCCAGCAGTGCATCTTTGAATCCTATGCATAAAAAAAAATTATATTGGACTTCTTTTTTTCATATTTTACAAAATGGTTGTAGGTTTTACCTGAGAGAATATACTTAAAGTTGATGGTAAACCATTCCAAACCAAAACCATTCCATCAGTGGTCCAGACTTACTTCTGGAAAATTTATCAAGTAGCACTTAAATCATGGTCTCATTTCAAAAAGGCAACCAAGAAAACTTCAAAATATGCCTTCATATCTGAAAGGCAGTAATGCCAACAATGAAAATAACCTCTCAGAAAATGGCTATTCTTAGCACTTCATAAGCCACTGTAACCCCTTGAGGAACAAGTTTTATGTGTGTTCTTATAAATTTTTTAAAAACTCATTGATGCCCCTCAACAATGTGGTAGTCCAAAAAGATTACTGAAATTGATTTTCATATCAGGTTTTTATAACTGAACCAAAATGCCTCAGTATTCAGCGCAGAAGTGAGTATGGGTAGTAGAGCCCTATTTCCATAGTTATGGAACTGTTGGAGTGATGGACCAACTTTGAAATAGTGAAGGAAGATTTTCAGGAACATTTAAAAAAAGATGCTTCACCAGATAAAATGATCCTGTCCATTTTAAAAAAGTCTCCTGAAACTGGATTTGTATGCAATCAGAATACAGGCAACTCAGGCTGAAAGAGTACTATTAAGAACACTGGGAAAGTTTTGGATGAGATGCTGTGATTGCTTTGTTTTATAAAAGCCAATGTCAAATATCTAAGGAACTGTTTTCTTTTGGGAGTGTTATTCATATGGTTAGAGACCAGCACCATAACTATGGAAATACCTGTAGTGCTCTACCATCCATACTCATTCCTGCACTGGTTACTGAGGTATTTTGGTTCAGTTTAATCACCTGAAATAGAAAGAAAAGAAAATCAAACTTCACTTACCTTTTTATGGACCACCCTGTATATCTAGAAAGTTTCTTTTTTCTTATCATGTGGTAGATAATAATCTATTGTAGCACGTGAAAGGCAAAAAATGCAGCAAACTTAAAAAGGGTAATTTACTCAAAACACAAAGCTGAAATTTTGTACAAGGTGGCACACAAAAATGTTTCACATTTCAGAAAACTCTACAAAGTGGAGCAAGTCACTATACAGTTGTTGAACATAGAACATTGGTTAACTTCTAACATCATATTGACCATTGTTTAAAACAAAAACACTAATAACACAAAAATGATTATGCAATGTAATTTCAAAGGCTACCAACTTCATCCAGCAGTATTACTCTGAAATAAAGAGGACCAAATTACCAAAACAGCTATTTTCAGTATACAAGAACTGTATAGTAATATTCTGCCCCACCCTGCATTTTCATTATTTATTAAGGTATAAAATTAAATTACATGTCATTAATGAGAAAAGTTTTTTGAGTTTGCCTATGGGGGAGTTCCAAAGTTACTGATGTAACACCAGACTCAAAATGAAATAATGTTTGATGCTATATCTTAAAGATGGTTTGGTCCAGAAATTCTACTTCAACAGTGTCTTATAAAGCATAGACACCTGTACCTAATCTGGTCAAAATTTTCTCATTTCTCTCATGGAAGAAAAAAGAAAGGCCATTCATGTCATGTTACTGATGTGACACGATTTAAACAAGTTTCCATTCTGCTGCTTCCCTTCTAATTAGGTCTTTCCAATTTGGCTTGACCTGAAGCTTCCATATTTTCAGAAAAGAAGGCATAGACCATCACCTTTCTTCATGCCTAATGACATTTCTTGTTGCTCAAAATGAATTGGCTATGAGAGTTTTCCATTATTACTAATGTAACAGTGAAAAAGTGTGATTCACCAAGCAAGTGTTAAATTCATTTGAATAGAATGGTGCAGCTGTAATGAAAAACCATCCCACTTTAGGTGATCAATATTTGATTAAGTTTATTTGGTCCAAGTTTAATACCCATATGGTGCAGGAAACAAAAGCTGGATGACAGATTTGTAAATCAGTTTTTTTTACCACTTTTGTCCCAGTTACTCTGGAACTGCCCTATGTTGAAAAATATGTACAAAGTCTTCACCAATCCCTCGGATAATCTGTCTGTAACGTACAGCTGTGCTTTCAATAACCTTACTCAGTGAGAACACCTTCACCTTAAGGAAACCCCATTTTAAAAAATCTGGCGGTCTGGAGATTCATGCTAGCCATGGAATGTCTCCTCTCATAATGATAGCGCTTCCCCTTCAAACTACAGATATACAGATGAGACTTAATGTCCAAGACACTAATTTTAGGCCCTCCAAAAAATGAGACCCTGGCAATACCTTTGTGGAAAACACAAGCATTCGGGTCAAACATTATAGTGTGCAGATGGTAGCAGCAGTGGTCTGAGATGGGTTTTAAAAAATTCAGTTTCAATCCATTCGTACTTTCGGAATTCTGGACTAACAAGAGATTGCATACCTGTTATTCGAGAATAGTCAGAAAATTCAAGAACCCCAATGTGTGGGCCTAGGGTTGTAAACGGATAGGGAGCAACCTTGGGTCTTGCACGTGAGATGCAACGAAGCAGTGATGACTTCCCTGCATTTGGAAATCCCACCTTGGAAAAGGTTTTTTTATTACTTAAACTTACTTTTGAACATTTCTTCTACTTCTATGCAGTTTATACCTAGTTAGGGGACATACCAGTCCAACTTGAGCTATGACTTTGAGTTCCAGGACAAGGGAACGAATTTCACCTTCTGCCCCACATTGTGCAAACCGTGGAACCTGAAGAGTATCTTCAACAAAGTAATGATTTCCTTTGCCACCACTTCCACCCCTAGAGGCGATGTACATGGTTCCCTCTTTCTCTAAGTCTCCTACCACCTGTCCAGTCTTCTCCTTTACCACTGTCCCAACAGGAACCTGATAAAAAGGAAGAGCAGATGATTATCCCTTTTGGTGCCACGCAGCCGATTCGTAGGCTAAAAACGACGATATATCGTTCCCTTGGTACTAAAAGGGTTAAACACTTGATGGATGTCCACCAGCCCCATGAATAAATGAACTGGAAAGTCAAACTCCAAGATCACTAAAAGATACCTTGACAAAGGTGTGAGAGGCACTTTGACCATGACAGTCACTTGATGATCCTTTCTCTCCTTCCTTCCCACGAAGAACTCCACTGATATGGTTCAAGGATGATACATCTCTGGATGCCTATAGAAACATGCAGGCATCTCCATTAATTGCATGTTGATCATCTTGCCCAAAGAATGGAATGAATAGAGGAACTGACAATGAAGACAACATGGCCTCCGTTCCCCCCATCACCTCCATCTGGCCCAGCTTTTTCATTTGCAAACAGGCTCAAGAATGAAATGCAACCATCTCCCCCTCTTCCTCCAAGAACTCGAACCTCCCGACGATCTACTAACCCTTCCACCTTGGAAAGACGTCAGAGAAAGCAACCTTTTGATCATTCATATTTATTTTTGAATAAACATTTTCATAGTGAGGCCCACAGCATGTATCATGCAACACTAAAACCTCCAAGAATTTTGTTGACCTATTGATAATGAATCATATTTCCAAAGAATTTCATTCATCACTATTAAAACTGCTGTGGGAGTATAAGCAAAAAGTAAGGAAGAGATGGCAGACAGAGATCGTCCATACCTACTAGCCCTATGTACAGGGTAATTATATAGTAAGTAACCCACCTCAGAATGCCATAAAAAACTTGACCCTTTACCATTCTTGTGGCCTTCCTCTGTACCCCTTCGAGCGCCAACAATTCACCCTTATTTGTAGGCCTCCAGAAATATTGATAGATGCAATATTCCAACTGGGGTCTTATCAGCACCGCATACAACGGAAGAATAACGCGAGATGTCCTACTTGCAACCGAACGACGAATGAAACCTAAAATCCTGTTGCATTTGGCCACCCTTTCTTACGCGTGCGAGGAAAACTTAAGGTCATTGTCAATAGAAACTCCAAAATCTCTCTCTCCGTTTGCCTCCCCCAGTTTATCCTCGCCGAACGCGTCGAGAGACCTACCGTTATTTCGACCGACGTGGAGAACTTTACATTTACTTTGATTAAACCTCATGAGCCATTTCTTGCTCCGCTCATCCAAAAGACTCAAATCTCGCTCGGCTCTAGCCCTATCCGCCTCCCCCCTTACGAAAAAACCTATTTTAGTGCCGTCGGCAAATTTACTTATTTTACCCTCTAAAACAAGATCCAAATCGTTTATGTAGACTAGGGGTGCCCAACCTACGGCCGCGGCGCTTCCCGAATATTGTTGTAAATGTAATATTAATGTTGAAAAAATTGGTATTGCGGCCCGCGGGAGGTCCCTTAAGGGGCAATGCGGCCCAGTTGGGCGAAAAAGGTTGGCCAACCCTGATGTAGACCAAAAACAGAAGCGGTCCAAGGACTGAGCTTTGAGGGACACCACTTGCGACTCCAACCACCTTCGACGCTTCCTCATTTATCATCACTCGTTGCTCTCTTCCCGTCAACCAGCTACTGATCCACTCGCTCGTCCAACCCTGGATCCCGTGGGCCTCCAGTTTAACCTGCAACCTCTTGTTAGGAACGGTATCGAAAGCTTTCGCGAAATCTCAGTAGACAATGTCCACGGGATTCCCCTTATCTCTCTCTTCCGTCGCCTAATCGCAGAATTCGAGCAAATTGGTGAGACAATTTCGACGCCTCCTAAAGCCGTGTTGAGAATCCCGAATGAGCGCGTTTTCTTCGATGAAATCCAAGAGGTGGTCCCTTAGGATGTTCTCCATGATCTTCCCTGGCATACTCGAGAGACTTACCGGCCTGTAATTCCCTGGATTACTCTCTTCGCCCTTCTTAAAGATCGGTACGACGTTCGCTAGTCTCCAGTCTTTAGGTACGAGGGTAGTTTGACAATGAGTGAGAATCTCAGTGCTTGAGATTCTCACTCAATGTCAAACTACCCTTGTACTTCCCCACGCGAAAAGCTGCTTTCAAATATAATTCTTAGCGGAACCGGTATTTCTCTCGCGGTTTCCTTAATGATTCAAGCAGGAATCCCATCGGGGCCAGTCGCCTTGCCCACTTTAACCTTCCTATTGTACTCATGATCGTTTCCTCGGTGATGGAAATATCCTCAATGCGCGCCGAGGTCACCTCCTCTAAAGTCGGTGCCTCGTCGGATTCGACAGTGAAAATGGAAGCGAAGAACTCGTTAACACATTCACTGCCAGACATTTAAATGGCTCAAGCCGTCATTGGCACTGGGAGAACGACTTTACGAAAATGGCTATCGCCGTGATTGGCAGCGAATGTGTTCCGGCCATATCTCCTTATTTGGAGATATGGCCGGAATGAAATGCTTGCAATCAAGCTTGCAATCGACTCCCTCTTGTCGTTCATTAGAAGGTCGATCGACTGTTGACACCTACCACTAGCATACCGATAAAAAGCCTTGGGGTTCTTCTTAGCATCGCTAGCCAGCCGTTCCTCAACCTCCCGTCTCGCAGATCTAATAATCATTTCCCGCCTCAACGTCCGCGTGATGGTCCTATATTCCTCATAGTCCGTTCCATCTCCCGTGCTCCTATACGTATCCCATTTCCGCTTTTTATCCCTGATGAGTGATTTGATTTTACCAGTAAACCAGACCGGTTGCCTGACCGACTTTAAGGAATTTTATGGGGATGCATTTCTCCATAAAGCCCTGCAATAACGTCTAGGACGCCCCCCATTGCTCCTCTACCGTCAGCCCACGGAACCGCACCTCCCAGTCGATGCCTGAAACGCATTCACGTAGTCTCTCAAAATTAGCTTTCTTATAGTTGTACGAAACCTTCGTCGGTTTAGCGTTACTCTTCGTCCGCTTGATATTCCACGTATCATCGCGCATCCATTCCTTGCATTCCATCGCGCAGTGGTCCGAATCTCCCAAGTTATCCAGTACCTTAACGTCTAGTGCCAGATCGTCGCTCGTCGCGAAAACTAAATCCAATAAGGCTTCCACGCCAGTCGGCTCTTCCACGTACTGAACGAGAAGAGCATCCTGAACCGCAACGATAAATTCCCTATCCCTTTCGCTTTCCCCTCGCGGCATCGACCAATCTATGTTAGGCATGTTTATATCTCCGATGAGCAATACATGCTTCGAGATCTCACTGATCCTACGCATGAGTGCGAAATAAGCTGCTTCATCCTCGAGAGTTTGGGGGCCTATAGCAATGTATTTTATTTTTAGAAATAGCTCTTCAGGTATGGCGCCGTGGCGGCGGTATGATGAGAGGCGGTGTCCCACGGTTTCATACCGTGACGACGGTACTCATTGCCATTCAATATCGCCCCGTAACGAAATCAGATGTCCCGGAAACATTTCTTGCATTTCTTCTTGAAATGTTTCCGAAATGCCGCCTCGCTCCCCTGATCTAAGCCCCTGCGATTTTTTTTTTGTGGGGCTACCTCAAAGTTCAGGTCTACAAACATCGGCCTCAAACTCTCGAACAACTGAAGGAGGCGATAAGAGAAGAAATCGCCGCTATTCCTCGAGATATTATGAAGAGAGTGATGCAACACTTCAGGGAAGCACTTCGGAAGTGTATCATCCATGACGGCCGCCATTTGCCCGAAATAATTTTTAAAACCTAAGTAAATGAAACCTTATTACATGTACTTTTCAGAAATAAAAGTTTTTTTTTCGTATCTTTTACCGTTTCTTTTTTATTAACCTTTTAAATATGGGACTCCATTCTGCCGCACCCTGTATAATGTCCTGAAGGGATTAAGGAGTTGATCCAACTACTGTACAACTGGGATCGGTGCTCGAGGGGAGAGCCGGAGGCGGGATGGACGTGAGCACTAAGTGCACCTGCGCAAACCAGTCAGCACAGGAAAGCAGGGGACGGGACGGAAGGGGGGAAAGTGAAGGAATGAATGCGTAAGCGAATGACACTGGCCCATTCCATTCGTAAAATGCCCTTCTCAAATTTCTCACATTCCGCTTTAACCATGCTCAAGCTCATTGTCTATCAGTTGGAGATTTAAAAGAACTATGACGACCATAAGGAACCGAATGCTATTACGAGTGTCGTTTTTTTCATGAGACGTTCCAAAAATTTACACGCTGCGCATCAAGTACGGCGTGCGGCGAGGGAGAATCGGATCGGATCGGCCATTTAGGTATCGGCCGATACCGATTCTGGCCGATCCATTTGGTATCGGCGCATCCCTAGTAGTGAGTGAACACAATTTGATGAAAAACTCAAAACACAAGAACGGAGTGCATGCAAACAAAGCAAAATACAATATGGAGATGCAATATACAGGGTGTTCCAAAAGAAACTACCCACTGTTTGTCAGTATATAGCTCCTGATCAAATTCACGTAAAGTGATGATTTTTGGTGTGCTTGTTTTAGGGAAATGGTACAAATTGTGAAATGGTATGCTAAGTAAGAAAATGTTAAAGTGGGCCAGCAGCATTTTAAAAAAATGTTGGCCATTGCACCCCAAAACAGAAAGCCACTATGGCTATTGAATTGATATTTGATACCACTGATGAAGTCCTTAATGTTGGAGGAAGTAGGGCCAAGAACTGGTCTCACAAAGGAATGAGCCAAAGCCTTTTTTGAGACACTCAAAATAAGACTAAAAAACGCTGTTTGTTACTTGCCACAGAAACTGGATGTGTCTCAGTCAACAGTTTTGTGCATTTTAGGAAACCTAGGTCAAAAGCTATTTGGTCCATATTCATCCCCCCCCTCCTCTCAGATGGAAACACAGATAGTAGGATTGAAATTTGCAAAGTGTTCTGAATAATTTTGGAAACTGTAGTTGAGTCATTTGGTCCAATGAAACAATTTTAAATTGGTCAAGCAAAAAAACTCTGTGAAAATAGGTATTTCTATCTGTGTCTCATTCGAGAGGGCATGAATCAGTATTGGCATAAATGTCTTTTGACCTAGGTTTCTTAAAATGCACAAAACTGTTGACTGAGACACATCCAGTTTCTGTGGCAAGTAACAAACAGCGTTTTTTGGTCTTATTTTGAGTGTCTCAAAAAAGGCTTTGGCTCGTTCCTTTGTGAGACCAGTTCTTGGCCTACTACTTCCTCCAGCATTAAGGACTTCATCAGTGGTATCAAACGTCAATCCAATAGCCACAGTGACTTTCCATTCTGGGGTGCAATGCCCAAAACTTATCTGAAACTGCTGCCAGCCTTCTTTAACATTTTTAAACTTAGTATACCATTTCACTATTTGTACCCCCAGTTTAAAATCCCAACTGGAATATTCCAGCTGGACCAAATCTGTAAATTCAGACCATTTTCAGCTGGCAAAGAGCTAGAAAACAGTAGGTACCAGTTGTTTCTTAGCTGGAATTTTCCAACTGGAATGCAGATGGTTTTAATAGCTGTTTCCAGCTGGAAATTTTATAAAGAGTACCCTACAGCTGGAATGTAGCTAAATTTACAGTTTAAAATCATAGGAGGATTTGAGAACCTTGGAGGAGAGGTTTCAAACTCTTCTCTCCCCATTTCACTCACATGAAGATTCTCACTTGTAGCTGGGTATAAAGAGTACCCTACAGCTGGAATGTAGCTAAATTTACAGTTTAAAATCAGCTGTTCCTGTTGATGGACCTCTGACAAAAATAGTCAAAGAAAAGATTCTCATTCAGTTAGTTACATTGCAATTAGGAACAACTCAGGAGTTGAATATTTTCTAGCTGTTACCCAGTTGGAATGGGTCCGAATTTACAGCTGGAGTCCAGCTGGAAATTATAGCTGTTTCCAGTCAGGATTTTAAACTGGGCCCTTTCTTCAATACTAGGTCGAGATCTCCTAGCCATCCTTTCTAAAATCACTTTCCCATTTCCATAGAAAACGCACACCAAAAATCATCATTTTACATGAATTTGATCAGGAGCTATACCCTGACAAACAGTGGGTAGTTTCTTTTGGAACATGCTGTATATTGGTACAGGACTTTTCTCTTAATTCAGACATCTGTGCATGGAATGTTCCTCAACCACAAGTGTCTGAATTAAGTGAGAAATTGTCTAACTTAAGTGAAAAACATAAAATCTCATCTGAATCAACCTCACTGAGACACTCAAAACTGTTACTCCTAGGCTTGCTCATTTCATGAAAGTTAATCCATTACTAGAGTTTGAATAGACTGAATGCATCTTATGGCAACAATGCAATTGTTACCCTGGAAATAAAATGTCAAGGGGAAGATGTAGGCCAACAAATTCAATCCAAAATAGCTGTAGGAATAGGACAACGAACCGGATAGGGGTTGGAGGATTTCGGTTTCTTACGACGGAGGAGTTTGAGCGGTGTAGGCTTCCTGTCAACTTGAGGCCAGGATCGAACCAGACCCTTCGAAGAAACGTGAAATAATCGCCTGGGCCATGAATACCGCGTCGCCACAGACGAAAACAATGCCTTCAAAACTTGATATGAGACCGAGGAAGCGCACAGCATAGCCTAAGCTACTTAGCAATGACCTGCAGAAAGCACGTGGTGGACGAGAGCCGTACTGGATCCCTCAGCCAATGGCGTTGATTCACTCCATGGCGCCCGCCTCTTTAGACACATGTCTCCGATCTCGTCCACTATAGATTAACCCGCCCTCATGATCGTGAGTTTTCTCGTCATAATCTAATTAGGTGTACAAACATTGGCTTTAACTCGAAGGTATACCTTTTCACTTCGTACTTTAGAAATGCGCTCACGTATTTTTGGATTTCAATTTTGTTCAGTCCAGTTCAGCTTTATTGGCCTTCATAACGTGATGTACACTATGACAGGGATCAAGGCATTAATCAATCAAATGAAGCAAAACAGGAGAAACGAAACAAAACTGAGGAAAAGAAAGAAAGTAGAGGAGCAAAAAGCAAACCAGATTGGGTCAAGGTTTCTTTTTTTGTTGTTGCAATATTAGAAGTTAGCTCAACAATTGAATTTTATATGTCAGGAAGTTCACTCCATAATTTTACAATGCCTGGATAGAAAAAATTTGCTCTAATATTGGTTCGAATAGAAAGTCATTTGAAGGTGAGTGTTTTAGGTTTTCTGTTACTAATGGTTATGTGACCCTGAATTGGTCAGGCTCCAAGGAATAAAGATTTTTAATGCAGTAGTTCAGGGAAAGATATTTATGACAGTTTTTGAGGAACATGAGATTTAAAATTTACAAACGAATAGGGTATGGAGGGCAGTTCTTTCACTTACCTTTAAGATAATTTGAGTGGCTTTCCTTTGAATTCATTCAGTTTTGGTCTGTATGTCACTAGATGAGGACCAAACTGGTGCACAATACTCAAGGTGGGATTGAATTATACAGTACGTATTGTACAGTAAAGTTTCAGTGGGACTCTAGATTTACAATCTTTAGCCACAAGGTAAATGATGGCCTGAAGTTTTGCACACTTTCGGCACAG